TAAACTCCAGCCATTTCAGTAGGTAAATACTGCCTTTCTAACCCGTGTGCATAAAGCAGCCAGTGTTCCACACCTGGCTGTGATCTCCTCTGCGAGTTCAGCCTCCTTGAAGTCCTCTGGCATGAAACTTTAAGGTGCTGACACAGTGTGTGTCACCCCAGGGCTGTCCTGGGGCAAAGGTGGGGACAGCTGGGACAGCAGTGCCCACCACCCGCTCTGGCTGCTGGGCTGGAGACAAGGGTGGAGGAAGTTTAGAACCAAACTGTGTTTCTATGTGTATACATCTTCCAGCACCCTTTAGAGCTGTAGCTTCTACATGTGCTAGGCAGATGTTCAGTCATGCTTTCCTCTATTTCAGCAGATTGGCTTTATGATAGCTGGCATGGTGCATGGCCTGTGAGTTGCACACAAATACCCGAGGATGAAATGCTGTTTGGCTTCCACCAACAGAGAGAAGAAATGCACACCTGCCCCCCTGAGACTCTCCAGCTGCGCAGTTCTGAGGGCAGTGCTGCACTCGCAATTCCTAGCAACTGTGGGTGAGAGCAGAGTTTGGGGCCCCAGTGGGGCCCACCACTGTCTGATCACTGCTGATCAGTTTTACTATTGTGTCTAGATTCAGCAGCTTCTTCTCATCTGTAATTTACTGTGTTTTCCCCTGAAAATATATCTTCCCTCACCCTGGGGAAGTGTGAGAAAATCTCTGGGTTTTCTCTTCAACACATGCTGTAGCTTCTACCCTGAGTAATTTTGATGTTTGAGTAACGATGCAAAGAAAGGACAACCCCTCAGTTTGGATGTAATTTCTAAACCCCTCCATCAGAAATTTCAAACGACAGCCGATGGAGGGACAGGGCATGTCAATCCCATCATGTGGCTCTGCCTTGTGTAAGAAGTGCAGGCTTAATCGCTGCTAATGCCCTACAAGCATTGTCCAGACAGGGTTATACAAGCACCTGGAGCTGCTGCCAGGTGACGCTTTGGGTGCCCCTGTGAGGCTGCAGGAGTGTGTTAGCAGCAGGGGAGGTCCCACAGTGCCAGCTGAGCCGGGTGGCAGTCGGTGTGGCACAGTGGGGACAGTGCTGGTGGCACTCCCCAGGGGCCTTGGCAGCACCCTCTGTGCCCGGGCTGCCATGCATGGCTGAACATGCTTTGGCAAGGACGGCTGCCACCTGCTCCTCTGCAATGAGGACCTGGCTTCCAGCATTTTAAACATAAGGGATAGCAAAACAGTCATGAAGATTCATTGCTATAGTGACCAGAGTCATAGAGGATGAAGAGAAAAGCAGCTTCACATGATTTATGTTAGAAAGGTACCTGCTGTAAGTTAGAACAGTCCTAAAGATGCTGTGATCTATAGCAGCCTCCTAAGGCAAACCAGAATCCCCTTTTCATAAGCAGTACATCCGTTTATGTAGAGAGGGGAAAATATTACAAGTCTTACGATGTTCTTTCCTGCCAAGGAAAAATCTGAAGTGCTAAATGTGCAGAGTGACTTGGTGAATCAAAGCTGGGCAATGGCTTTAAATGTGCCACGTGTTCCTTGCTGGAGCTATGCTACTGACAGCTGATGGCAGTTTGCTACTGGCTGTGGACAGTGGAAAAAGCAGCCTCAATGACAGCAAAGGAAGGGGAGTAAAACCCTCCCCTTCCTTAAAACGGGATTGAGGAAATGGACCCTTAGCATGGTGGGTTGTGACTAGGGCCCTGCTTTTGAAACGTGATCCGTGTGTGCAAATCCCACACAGACCAGATGCCAAAACCACAGTGATTCTTTGACATTTCAGTTGAGAAAGAGAACAAATGTGCTCTGTACTCATCTTTTCTTTTTTGAAACAAAACCAATTAAATTAACTTTGAAACAAGGGCTTTGATTACTATCTCTCTGGCGTCATCTTTACGTTGATGCAATTCTGTAGACTGGTGGCATCACTGCTGATTTGCACTGGTGTAAGAACAATCAGGCTCTGTGTTTTCCAGGCAGTGAAGCTGCTTATGTTTTGTGTAAAGAAAGAAACTCAGTCAAACAACTTTAAGGGGAAATAAATTAACCAAGAAATTCAGGAGCCAAAAGCAATATGAGCACAGATAAAGCTACAATATTCCAACTGTATTGCTGGTTTAAAAAACATACCCAGCCTAATTAAGGAAGTATTGACTTCACTACAAATGTGTATGCTGATCTCTCTCGGTTTTGAGTTTTAATCGACATCCAAAGGTGAGCAATTTAATAAGTTTCTGCAATTTTATTTATTTTAGTATATGTGTTCTACTTTACTGGCTTTCTTTGAGATCGTTGAACAAATGTAAGCTTCCCTTCCCCTTCAAATAATGCTATGCAACATGAGAACAAATCAACGGTAAGGATTAAAATTATAATTGACCTGGTGTCAAGTAGGAGACAAAGTTCTACCCAGCATAGCCTGTGTGAAGAGGAGTTGACCTTTGTGTATGACCAAGGATTTCAGTATTGGTGACAGAGATTTATATACATATCTATATATTTATTTATTTTCACCCAGTGAAGCACAATCAGGTCTTTCAGTATTCAGCTTTAATGTTCATTTTTTTGCTATAGTTGCTATTATGCTCTCACTTCGAGGATGTCAAACTCCTGAAAAGAGCAATTTTTTTGCTTCAGGTACAGTAAAGCTAACAAACACTCTGCTTGGGGTGAAAGACAGAGGCTTTGTGTGTATTGAGGAAATTTGGTATATGAAGGGAGTGGAGCTGGGCCCAGACTGATATAACTTGCCACAGTATTCTTCACTATACTTCTTCACTATACTTCACTGTACTTCCTCACTATACTATACTACAGGACAGCAGCTGATGAGTGGAGTTTTATGGAATATTTTAATGTTAAAAAAATGAAGAAAAAACAACCCACAAAAATGTGAAGCACTTAAACCTGAATCTGGGTATATTTCATATTTCTGTATTGAAAAAAACCCCAGTCCTGATGACTATGTGCAGCACATTCTGTTCAGTGCCATTTCCATTCAGTCTTTACTATTAACACATGGTATATGCCACTAAATGGCCATGAATATAGTAGATAGACTATGGCTAATAACAACGTGATTAAAATTTTTAGAAGGTGGCCATGGCAGTTTTCCATTGCTCTGACATTTGCCTAATAAGCCCCAACTCACTGACTGCTTTAGTAAATGATACATGGCTTCTCTTGTAAACCTGGCATGGGGTTACATTAAATATTGCCTTGAATTTAACAACGTGCTACTTTCCTGCCCTACTCTCATAAGTCTAGTAGGACTTGTGGCCTTAATTTAGCTTGGGTGGAACTATAGGTTGGACTTGTTGTTCCAGCAAGGTAATTGCTTCTCTGCATAAATGAATTATCCTTTTCATTACAGTGCCCATGGAAAGTTGTGTGTCATTTCAACATATCAGTGTAGCCGTGGCAATCCTTTAACATGTTGTGCACGTGCTCACTGTGTCATTTTTGTCCCCAGTGCCACAGCTTTGCTGCAGGGTGAGATGCATGACAAGCTGGCCCTTTGGAAGGCTGCTGGCTCTGCCTCACTGCTGGCCTCCCCTACAAAATGGGTACTAATGTGACAGAGGATGAGCCCTGCCTGAAAATAGCAATCCAAGGCCTTCCTGACAGGCTGACTGGGATGGCAGCTCTGCAGAGAGCCGTGGAAACTCAGTAAGCAACACTTTGGTACAAGCTCTGGTAGCAGGGGAGGCACATGAGGGCAAGGGCTGAGGCTGAGTCCTGCTGTGAATGAGGGAGCTGCCTGAGGGGCAGGAGCTGGCTGGGACGTGCCACCAAACTGCTGCAGTGCACAGCCATGACCCTGCTGCTGCAGCAGGAGAGGGAAAGTAAACAGGGCTGGCAGAGGCACCAGAAGCTGAACTTTGTGAACTCCTACCAGATGGAGTTACACCAGCAATTAATTTGGTGCAATTACTTCCACACGTTGGAAATTATTGCAAGATAGATCAACTCATTAACAATAGGAAAACAGCATTGCAAAACTCCAATCACCTCCTTCCAAGTGTTATGCACTCACTTTCCACTGAAATTAATGAAAATAATGCAAATGGGGTGCCTGGATTCCTGGATCACTGCACTGAGTAATTGGGGTACAGCTCTTGGATGTACCTGCTCAGAAGTAAACACAGTGATGAGAGGAGAGAGATGACCTAGACTGAAAACAGTTCTTGTGCTTCCATTTTCCCCAAACCTACTGCTGGCAATAGCTTGCTATTTCTCTTGGCAAACATACATCTCCAGCTTCTGGTCCGGGCCTACTGTTGCTACAAAAACTTCAACCTTAATATGGAAATCTATATGTTTTCTGATTAATATTTCCATCAAGCTTAGTCCTGGGTAAACATTGTGTAACATTAGCATTCATCAGTGGACTTGCACAATCCCCTTGAAAAAACATTGAAAAAATATTTCAGAAACCTGCTTTCAGCCTAGAATTAATATTACAGCCACAGAAAAGATCTTCTATGTAAAAGAGAATGATTTTCCCCTCTTTCAGAGATTGATGAATGATTCACAAGTCAATAATTTACTTTTCAGTGCATTATTGCCTGATTAGTCAAGTGCTGATGCAATTAAACTTAATGATCTTACTGAGTAGGTGTCTGCTTAGATTGGCATTTAAAAAGAACAGGTCATTAGTATTTTTGTAAAACAGAACCTTTCTTTGTTTTTACCAACCTATTTCTGTATTTCCATTGCTACCAGTCACCACTTCAGATGGGACTGTACTGTTCTCATTTGGAGCTGGTATCTAATTACACATCACAGATCAGCTGCTAAAGAAGCATGCAAAGCTCATGAAGTATCAGTTCAGGAGTTGCTCCAAATAGAGAAGAGATTATGCAAGTTACTTTTCCCAAGGTGAATGACAGACATGCAGGAAGGGCTCGGTTTCTGTTGGCAGGAAGGACTGACTGACTGCTAGACCTCAGCCTCTGGAAGCTGGCAGAAGAGGAGATTCCATCCCGAGAGGTGCTAAGCTGCTGCTGCTGCTGCCAGGAGAGCAAAGAAGGCACAGGGCATCCCATGTGACATGGGAAACTTGAGGAGCAGCACAGGACACGGACCAGGTTGTTTCCAACAAAAGGAATCTTCTGTATGTAAACAAAGTTTAGTAGCAAAGTGTTGAGTCCAGGAAATCATTTCTGGTGAGGAGAATAAGCTTTCCTTCTGAGAGGAGTGCAATTATTTCTCTATTGTTTTCCCAGTTCCTCCACAATTTAGTCTTGGCTGTGTCTCCAGTGAGAAAGTACTACTTGGAACTTAAAGGAATTTGAGAGAACACACAGAGGAAAACAAAAAATACGAGATGTCATTTTACATTTGATTTCAAAAAGTGAATTTAGCAGGCAAAAACCTGTTAATAGCTATATGTTTTTGCTTTGAAAGGGACAATTAGTAATGAAAGTAAGCAATGGAGGGCTTTGGTAGGAACTGCATGGAAAGGAAAATCCCTGTAAGTTAGAAAACAACAGGCTGTAACAGTAGAGCACCTGTTGGTTTATGCTTTCTATGTTTGTTCACTCTTCCAAATATTTAACACTGTGACCACAATTTCTGTATTTCTAAGAAAGAAAACTAAAATATTGCTGTTCCTACTCCATCACAGATCCTGATTTTCCAGACATGGGATAGGCTTCCTGTAGAAGTACCTCCAGTGTTTTAATTGATGCATGTTCACCAGGGAGAGCTGATGCAACAAGAGGACAATCAAGCCCATGGTTCAACAGTTTCAGAAATAAGTATCTAAAATTAGGTGCCTAATTCCATAATTAGGAACTTGAGAAGAGGTGGACTGGTTTTTAAAAGTACTACAGGAGTGACAAATTCTGCTGAAGTAAATTTGAGCTGGAGGTGAGTTTTCCTTTAAAGATCATACTGTTTTATTTAAATGCCTGGTATTGTTACAGGCATATTGGACATCCTGGGTTGAAGGTTTGAACTTCCCTTCCTAAAGTATAACTCTATCAGCCTGTATCCAGAGCACAGAGCTCTCATCATGTGGTACTCTAGAACATGAGTATATTCCATCCTGACAGACATTATTGTGTGAGTGTGTCTGGGGACTCAAAACAAGAAGATTAGAAAAATACACTTTCCTCTCTTAGATCCTGAGGCAAGCCACAAATGTAACAGAGGCCTAAAGGGTGTTCCAAAGGCTGCTGGGGAGTAGCTGTGTGGAGGAACTTCTGCAAGGGTTGGGGATGAATACAGAACAAAACCTCCTCTGCAGCACCCACCAACAAGGTCCTTCTGCCTCCCAGACCAGTGTGGAATAAATCAAGGTGGGGAGCTCTGAAAGCACTGCCTAATGACACTCGTGGATCTTGGCATGACATAATGAGCCAGGTTACCTGAAAGCTGTAAGGATGGGAAATGCAGTGTGGCTGTTTCTAATGTATTTTTAAATCTTATTGGGTTGATGCTATTAAAAAACTTAAATCGCTGTCAAATCAAGATCATTTAGGCTAAAATATTTACTCCTAAGTGCTGAAGCCAACAGCGTAGCACAAAGGTAGGCAGACACAAAGAGGACAATTGTCTCAGTCTGTCCTTGCTATTGGGCTTATAGGTATCTTGAGAAAGAATAATAACAAACTCTCTTCCATTCAACTAGATCTCCTTATCTGTATAAGATAAGGGTTTATAATTACGTTTCAGTAACAGCTTGTAGGAATCTATTAGTTGTTGTGAATTCATAAATTCCTATAAGTACATAACTCATTTCTTTGCACCAGTTACTACTGGTGACAATTAAATGATAGTTGGTTCTTCGTAGTGGTTTCTTTAGCATATTTCAAATTTGTTGCCTTGCATACTGTACCTTCCAGTCTATTCCTGATTGTCTTCCTCCTTTTGCAATATTCTCCCAGCTGCAGTGCCATTATACCACATAGGTGGCAGCCATGTCAAAAGCAGTTGTGCCACATCATTTAACAGGCAGTAATTGTGTCCAGGAATCACAGGAATCTTGATCTGCTGCATCAGACATCACTTCTTTGACAGCTAAAGCTGAAAAGACACTTGGGATGGAACCTAAAATACACTCTGTTTCAGGTTGCAGGGACAGCGCCAACAGCCTACAGTGCTGAAGAAAACACAGCCATATATTTATCTTGGTTTTCTGGTTTCTTTTTAAACTTAATTTCTATATGAACAAGACTCATGAGACATCACTGTGTCATGCTGCCCCAAGTGAGGATATTTTAAAATCCAATGGCTCATTTGAGACAAGTTTCACACGTAGTTACTGCTCACAAGAGAAATAAAGGCCTGGCACATTTCAGGAAAAGGCGATAGGGTGGTCCTGTTAAGGTTTCCACCAGGAAAGGGGCGGCCACCAAAATTCATGCACTGTTTGTGCCAGAGCCACTTTGTCCACACAGAGGACAAAGCTCTCACCTGTTCAGACAGTGAGGTTAAGCTACCATGAGACAGAAATGGATAAGAAACCTGGTTTGTCCCTGCTTGTGCTCCCAGAAGTATGTGTTGGTCTAGACTTGGCAGTGGGAGGGCTAAAGTTCTGTTTGTGTTTCTAAGCTAATCCTGCTTTTGTGTGATGTGTAATGCAACCATGTGCTTTTTGGATATTTAAGTTGATGTTAAGCTTCTGAGGTCAGAGATTCATTTCAGTACTGTCATTGCTCTCATTAGATTTCCAAGTGTGTGTAAGCAAATTCCCGTGGTGGAAGCCCCTTATCCCATATTTTCTCTGTGTATTCATGCAGTATTTATAATTTTTTTGTGACTGGGAGAAAAATTATGAGTTCAAGGACATTTTTAGCTATTTTACCCAAACTAAGTCCACAAATTTGTTTGGGACTTTTATCATTATTTTGCTTTTATTATTATATGTGGAATATTGTATAATTAGATCTCTAGAATAATTTTCTGTTCTGCTTTTTTTCAGATCAGTTATGTGTCTATGTGGTCAAAAGGGAAAAGTCCTTCATCTGAAGTGAAGCAGGACCTGAAGGATGTATCTCAGACATTCCCATGGCTCTCAGGGTCCAGGAATGCACTGACTCAGGAGTGGAAGCTGAACCTGAAATCTCCCACATGGTCACATAGAGCAGCACTGCACACCAGATGTGGCTTTCTCTTGTCATATGCCTAAAACTTTTTTAATGATAAGTGGTTTTCAGGCTGGCAATTAATTTCCCTTGGCTTGAACTCCTAAGAACTAAAAGGTAATGGGAAGCTACCTGGCTCATTAATTAAAATGGAAAAAGTATTTTGAGATAGCATTTTCCTGGAAGTGGGGTCCATTTGTGTCTGATGAGCTGTTTTATAAAAAGTACCAAAGTGAGATTAAAATTTTTAAAACTATTAAAAAATACTATGTGAAGCTTAATGGCTAAATAGCTACAATTGTAATTAAATAGTAGAAAGGCAGATTTGGTTTTGGCTGTAAAACCAATACTAGAACAAGGTACAAACTAATTTGCAGTGTCCTACAGCAACAATTAGTGTCCTAAAGGATGTGACTTTTCATTAGGATGACTAGGAGGATCTGACAGGTGGCTGAATCATGCCCACTGTAGTCACACTGAACTTCATCTACATGCACCCACAGTATTTATTGCTCAGTCAAATTCTTCCTTTTATAATTCTGGATTGCCACATGTGCAATTACATTGCATCCGGCAGAGAGCTCTGAGATCTGTAATTACCAAACACGTCCACAGCAGTCACACAGCAACACAAGTGACACTCATGTACTCACGAGTGTAAAATCAAAGCACTGCACCTCCCACTTGCCCATGACTGAACTGAGAGGTGTTTACTGCACAGTTTATTCTGTGAAGCACCCTCCCAGTGTAATGATACACAGCTGATAAATGAGAGCGGGAAATAGGTGCAGTTCATACAAACCAAACAGTGTAGAACTGAGTTATTCTGGAACTTTACACTCTTTGCAATGCCTCCAGTGGACGGATGCTCAGCTAGCTGTGAGAAGAGTGGCTATGCAGAGCCCAGATGTACACACATCTGCAGGGATCCTGGCACACCAGAAAGAATCAGGAAATGGCTAGGCCTCGCACAGGAGTCAGAAGACTTGAGTATGTATAATTCACCTTGTTGTAGGGAGTGAGTGCCGCCCATAGGGCTCAGGCTATAAGATGGGGTGTTTGTAAACATCCTCAGTGGAAGGAATTACCGGAGTAATGACTGGAGATGTGGCAGTGTCTATGTACATCCCACCTATGGGACCATCTAAAAGTGCGCCAAACATTGTATTATTATCTCATGTCTTTCTGACTAACAGAGCTGTCCATGGGCCCTGCCCTGGCTGCAGTGCAGTCTCCAGGTGAGCTGTAGGTTGACATTCCAGCTTTTCTGCAGTACAGCTTCCCCTTTCAAGCAGTTCTTTCTGCTCTCTGGAGGCCACTTTAGCCGGCCTAGATCTGTGCCCCTGGTGAAGGGGGATCCCCATCACCAGGGCAGTTTGTTTTCCCGTTCTCCGTGGTGCATTTAGCAGTGCGTCCACAGCGATGGGGGGCTCGGGGCACGGCCTGGATGGGGGTCCGCACTCGGCAGCCCCGGTCCTGACCTGCTTTACTGGGCAAGCCTGATGTGAGGGATGGCGCCGGCCCGTCCCTTTCAGTGAAACCTGAATTTCTGCTGGATTAAGGCGGTTGTGTAACCGCAGCCCAGCTGACTCCATTGTTCTTCCGCACAATGTTGTTATCGGCGTGAAGTGCGCGCCGAGCACGGCGCTGCCGGGCAGGGCGGGCGCGGGCAGCGCTGCCCCGGGGCAGGGACGGACCGAGCGGCGCTCCCCGCCCCGCAGCGCGGGCTGAGCGGGCGGGGGCTCCGCATGCCGCCCCGCGGGCACTTCGCACCTGCAGTGGCCGCTCTGCGGCCGCCCACACACACGTGCATTTAAGCCCCGGCGGCCGTGGGCTCGGGCTCCTGCGGGCACACGCGGGGCCAGCGTGGGAGACCCGTGCGGGGGCAGAGGGAAGGAGGGCCGGGCAGCGGCTGACGGCACTGCAGGAAAGGCGCGGTGAGGGGCGCGCCAGCCCCCGTCGGAGCCGGTGAGTGAGCGAGGGGCCGCTCCCCTGCCCGGGGAGGGAGCCTGACTGCCAAAGCACTCGGCGGGGAGGGGGCTTAGGGACGAAGGGACGGTGCCGTTCGCGCAAACCCATAAACCCAGCGGCGCCGTTTGCAGTGCAGGGGACGGGTGTCCCCGGGCAGCGGGGACCGCACACCGGGCGGGCCCGGACCGTGCCGTGCAGAGCCGTGCCGCGCTCTGTTGCTGTGACAACCGAGCTGCTCGACGGCGGGCGGGCGGGCGGCGGCGCGGGGCATTGGCCGCCGCGCGGCACGTGGGCGAGCGTGGCGGGTATCCCCGGCCGAGCTGCGCCGCCCCGGCTCGCTCTGTCCTGCCCGCCGCCGGGCTGTGATGTGTGTGCCCCGCTCGGCGGGAGGCGGGGAGTGCCCGGCGGAGAGGAGGGGAGTTAGTCAGCGGCGAGGAGGAGGAGGAGGCAGGACCGGAGGCAGAGCCATGGAGAGCAGCGCTGGGCGGGCGGGGCGGCCTGTGTGACCGGGGCGCATCGCGGGGGCACGGCCCGGCAGCCCGGGCGGCAGCGGCGGGGCCGGGGATGAAGGTGCGGCGCAGCCCCCCGCCGCCAGCCGCCGGCCCGTGACGGGGCGGGGGCCGCGGCCCGACGGGGCGGGCGGGGGGCCGCTCGCTGCCTTCCTCGGGGCAGGCAGGCAGGCGGGCAGGAGGGAGGGGACTCCGGCAGGGGCTGCCGTCGCCCGGGGCCGCGGTGACTCAGAGCCGGGGGTGAGCCGAGGTCTGTTGTTGTGGGATTTTTTTCCCCGGCAGGTTATAAATAGCCCCGCGCGGCGCCGTGTCACGGAAGGACACCCTGGCCGGGCGCGGGCAGAGGCCCCGCCTCCCGCCGGCTGTGCCCGCTCCCGGGGCGCGAGTGACACCGCTGGCCGGGGCAGCGACAGCCCGGCTCCGCGGGGACAGCGGCACAGCACCTCGGCCCTGTCAGACCTCGCTGAGGCAGCGGGGAAGATGAAGCCGGAACGAGGTAAACGGCTTATCGGTACATTTCTTTTTGTTTGTTTTGTCTGTAGGATTGGAAGTAGCCCGGTGGTTGGCTTCGTTGTTATCGCTCTATTTCCTTACCCCCTCCCCTGTCATTTTGGGGGGTGGGAAAGGATCCAGACACTCGGGCTCAGCTCGGGAAATGCCAGTGGGAGTGGGATGCGGAAGGTGCCCCGCGAAGGGGGTTCCAGCCCCGTGTCCTGCCTGCCCTTCGGCTTTCCATTGTCTTGGCTGGATGGAAGAGACAAACGCCGTAGCGAAGTGCTTTTGCTGTGGGAATGCTGCAGTTCGTGTGTCAGACACGGCCGGCTCGTTAGCACGGTCCTGCAGTGCTGAGGCGGGAGTCGGTCAAAGGCAAATCGGGCATCGACAGACAAAGCCAGCAGATGTACAGAGATATCCAAATATAGCTGAAAAACACGCTGAAAATAACCATAACTTACATCTGTGTTGTTTTATAAACTGACAGTGCTTTTTTTTCCCCTAGTTATAATGGAGGTATTTCATAACAAGCATGGTGAAATAGAAATTTTTCACGATTATTTGGTTACATCTTGTCGGATTACTGACATCTGGTTTTACAGAAAAATCAAGACGGCAGTCTACGTATATGTTTATAACACTTGAGCTCTTTTGCCGTATAGCAACAGCTGCTGGTGCCCCTAGAGTTGGAAATATGTCATGACTTCTATTTTGATCCACAGGAGCAGTGATTATTGATTCGTGTTAAAGCAAGATATTTTTTTAAAGAAAATCTGAGAAGTGCTCATCGTAGTATTACGAATGTTAATTAAAAGCAAGAATCCATGCTTCCTAAAGCTTTGATGATTCTATTGATTATCTGGTTGCTTTTAGTTTAAAAAACATGTTCTATTTCTCTTATAATCACTTTGGTGTTTTGAGAAACACTTTTATATGGCTCAGATATTCGTATTATATAGCTCAGATACTCGTATTAAATGCTAACACTTACATGACATACACATCCTAATTAGGTTTGTTAATGACATGTTTGCTAATAGCGACACTGCATACATGACCACTCTTAGGTGGATTTCTTGTTTGTGTGTGCTGCAAGGATTATATGGTGTGATGATAGCACAGATAGTACAGAAGCAATCATAAATTAATGGGGTTTAAGTACTATGGTTTTGAAATGGGCCTTTCTCATTGCTTTCCTCCTTGTTTCTTAACTGCTTCAACCTTCACACTATCTGCTGCAGCGAGGCTGGTTGTTTGTAGGATCTTTAGATTTTAATACCAGACACTGAAGTTTGAAAACTATTTACTGTCAGCGTGAAATTATATTTCAAAATAGCCAGGTAAAACCCAAGTCAATATTTGCAGCTTTAATATGTTCTAATCTAGCAGTTCAAATTCTACATGACCTTTGTATATTCTTTTCTTTAATTTTAGGCAGAAGGAGTTAGAACACGGCAAACATTTTCAGTTGCTGTATGATAAGTGATCAGATACCTTTTTTAACCAATCTGGTGTACAAGGAACCAAATTTGTACAGAAAGCAAATTATTAGGTTGCTGGGGGATTTTTTGTGGGTTTTTTTTTCTTTTTTTTTCCCCGTAAGCTGGGAGATAATAAATTGAGATTCTTATACAGTGTAAAGTGTTTACCACAAACTGGGCAAAATCCTTCAGAAGTTATGTCTTGAAATTCTTCTAAGATAATTAACAAAAGTCTTGAAATAAATCATGGATCTTACCAAACGTGGGAGGGTATCTCCAGCCATTTTAGTGGATCCCTCCAGCTTAACTGTGTGCTAATACAGTAGAGCAATCCCATGCACAAAGGGGGTTGTGAAAGTGCTGCCTAAATGCCACGTGCAGCCCGCAGAGACTCTTAGGAGGCACGAATCATGCAAATGTTTACATGTGCTGCTTTCTGCATAGCAGCTGTACCACAGGACACAAGCAGTCAAGTGTGCAGTCACCTGCTTCCAATCGTCGCAGACTAATAGCAAAGGGCAGAGGAGAAGCAGACCACTCAGCTTGCCACAGGTTTCACTGCTCTGCAGAGCCTCAAAATCCTGAGAAGACTGTAAGTTCACACCCCAAGTAAAGCAAAAAGAAGCAGACTTTAAACAGGCTTGCAATGTGTTGGCTTTTTTTGTTGTTGTTGTTCTCACAAATAATGATATCAGATTCAGTTTGGAGCAGAGGGATGCAGTTCTTGTTTGAATTTAACTCAGCACTGCACTGAAGATTGTAATGCCCAGGCACATTGGGAGAGGTGTGATGTAGCCTTGGCTGAACTACCAGTAAGGTTCTTGTTATCCCCAGCAAAGATGGATGATGCAGGAGAAGAAAGAGGAGATGTAAATGTACAGCTGTTTTTATCAGTGGGAAGTGCTACAGAATGTTTAAATTTAAGGAGGTGAGAGGGATGGACAGAAATGAAGAAAACATGGGAATTTGACCCTAAGGTACTTAGCTATCTCTGTAGGAGGGAAAGTTGGAAAATTTGCAGCTATAGATATGTAATGTGTGAGAGCACTATGTAGGGGATGGAATATGGAGCTCTGCCTAGCAAACCTGCAGAGCAGTTTTGTGCGTGAGGGAGAGCAGGAAGAGAGCTTCGAAAGTGCAGGTAAGAATCTGGACTTATCCCTTTGCCATGCAAAGGCACAGGGCATTCCCAGGAGGTATCTCATGAGCATCACTCAGGACATGGCCATCAGGTGGGGTTTGAGCGTGGGAGGACAGTGGCTGCTCTGAGCACATTCCCAGAGCTATCTGTCCTGGGTCTGGGGAACGCAGTAACTCAAGTACTGACGGCTGCTGCTCAGCTTTACCTTCCCTGTGCTGCTGTTCTTAAAGTGAACTGTTGAAGCATCTTGAAATACAGTGGTCATGGTTCTTCAGCTGAGGCTCCACTGGTGCCAGGGAGAAGAATTATTTATCTCCCTTTCTTACACACCATGTTTTGGGAGTGATGTTTGAGTTTGGGGTTAGTTTTGGTTGTTTCTTGGGGTTTTTTTTCTTTCTGCAGTAACAACATATCAGGTTACCTGGCTTTGATCCATGATATCATCACGATTTGGTTTCTGCAGTACAGCTGCCTAGTCAGCTGCTTCGTGCTGCATGTTTGGACGGACGGCTGTTTCCTTTCTCGAGTACAGAGCTTTGCTCTTGCTTCTATTGAACTTCGTTCTAATGACTTCTGGTCGCTTCGGCAGTTTATTGAGTTTGGAAGACAGAATAAGGCTTCGTAGCAGAGTGCTTGCAAAGTTTTCCAGCTCAGCTTTGTTCATAAACTCTATAAACACACTGTTTCACCATCAGCATTAATGAAAACATTGCATAATGTCAGGGTGATAGCTTGCTGCCAAACTCAGAAGGCTTGTTATGTACTCTTAGAGTACACTTGGTGCACAACTGGAAAACATCTTGTGGTTTAGATGAATCTAGAGTATAGTCATATTTTACTGTGGAAATGTTACAAGACATCAAAAGTTTTGCTATAGTCTAAATAGCTGGGAGTTATTGCTCCTTCCTCCTCCCTCCCCCTCACGGCATGAATGATCAGTTAAAGGAGGAGGACAGGCTTGTTTGTCTCTAAATGCATGCTGGCTGGTTTTTATCACCTTATTCTAGTCTTTTCTTACTTTCTTATTGCCTTGCTTTGTTTATTCCTCTATGTGTGTTCTCTGTGTAGAGACTATTTTGTTTTCACTTACAAATTAAACAAAAAGCAGTCCTTTCTTACTTTTTGAAGCATTAATTCCCTCCTTGAGATTATCCTAATTTACAGAAATGACTTTCTGTCTACAAGAGAGGAACAAGCAGACTGAAGATTGCTTTTTGTCTTCTTCCTTCTTTGCAAGTCAAACTTGGATATGTGCCTCAGGGTCTGTTTGTAGTAACTGGGTTAAGGAACTTCTGCCACATTACTTGGTGGGTTGATGTGGAAAGAGGTAACTCTTGGTTCAGCAAAAGTCTGTTTACTGCCTCTTGTGAGAAACATAGCTGAGGCATTTTGGGATCTATCTGCGGGGAAAGCTGGAGGAGAGATTAATGAACAGTTGATGGAATTTAGATTCTTAGGAGGAAGGATGAGGAGGCATGGGACTCGGGGGAAGTGAGCTGAACCAGTGTGTTCAGTTGTGGAGTTGGTTGTTAATTTAGGAGATGTGGGTAAGGCCCTTGTTTTTATAAGCATAAAATATGCCCTATATTAACTGGGGAAGATGATATGGAAAACTTCAGCAAAGATGATGTGCTGCAGAGTAGGAAGTGAAAATATATATTGAAAAAATATGAGCTGTTTTAGTGTCCTATATTGAACCGTGATACAGACACTTTAATTTTGTAGTATCTTCTCAGTGAAATGTCACAAAGCACTTAAACTTTTCCACGGCAGAATGATGCAGCCAGTCAACAAAGCAATAAACTGGAAATGAGCTGCTTCCTGCTCGCTGGAGTTGTCACTGCGAAGGCGTCCGGGCAATGCTCGGGGCTGGGTTGCCACGGGTAAGTGCAGGTTGGGTGCTGATGAGCTGGGCTGACGCTGTGCCTGCCCCAGGAAGCCCCCGGGCAAACAGGGCACGTGTGGCCAGCTGCGTGTGCCCCGGGAGCCTGCTCCTCCTGCCTGCACGGCTGTCACATCAAACCTGCTTGTTCTCGGAAAGAAAGAGCACCTAAAACTGTTCGGGGTAAAAAAAAAACCCCACCGCCCCAAGCAAACTGACAGGGACTGCACTCGGATTCCCTTTATGGGGCATGGAGCCATGCAGCTCTCATCTTTGGGGAGAGCAGATTTGTCCTGATAGATAATATATAGATACAGGATATGAGTGAGCAGGAACAGAAGCCTTTTCTTTTTAATTGAGGGTGGAGTCTAGATGCTTTCAATACAGTTCTGTCCTTGCACCTGAGAAATGGCAGTATCAACTCTCTTTTTATTAAATTTCTACCTCAGACATTTAACTTGGAAGAATTCTTAGCTTTTAGCTGCTTAACTTTTTAAAAATGTTAGGCACCAAAAAATTCCAAGTATATTTATTTGTAGAATGGAAAATCTCAGGTTTTAATTTGAAATGCCAGTTTTTCTTACCTGTTCTGCAGTTTGTACCTAGCTATTGACAGCACGAAACGTCTTCCTGTTGTAAAAGTATTTCTTGGGTTGGAAGGGTGCTTTTATCATTGTTCAGCAATGAGAGTTCTTCATGGCATACCTGTTCCTCAGCGAGAACCATCCCGGTAACAACTTTGCCTTTTTTTTTGTAGTTTGCTTGGTGTTGTCCGTATTAGCTGGCTTTAGCTGTTGCTAAAAGAGATGCTGCTGGAGTGGCATTTCGGTGGATATTTTGGGGATTGTGGATATGCCAAGCCATAGGCTTAGAATATATAAACTGACCCTTCTGACCATATTCTTTACTTGCTGCAGTGAGAAACTTTGGCATGTCAGTTCAGATCCCTGGGGTGAAACATATTAGGTTGGACTTTGCTGTTAAGGGCAGTGTTGACATTATCATTGGATCTGAGGTCTGCCAGCTTCTAAATGTTTTTAAAAATAAGCTAACATTTATAAATACAGATTCTCATGAGAGACAAGAGTTTGCTGCCAAATGAAATTCTACTTATTAAAATTAGAAGTCTTCTGTGAAAACAGAGTAACTGATGAGAACAAACCATCTATATGACATTTGAAACGAACTTGCTCTGTCTGCTTCACTGTTTATAAAATGTTTCTTTGGTATTTTCATGGACTTCTACTAATAGCAGCCATTTACTGGTGGAGAAATAGCCATAACCTTTTATCTTTTCAGCAATGAGTTTAAGGTAACAGTCCAGCTGTTCTTTTAGTCCATAAGGTCTTGCAGTTTAACTGTAAATATAGTAGTAGTTATTGTCTCCATTCCAATGTAATACTGATTAAAGTATGTTTTTTAGATTTTTGAAATTATCTCACATAATTGTCTTTCAAGGAGGTGGTAAATTGTTCAGTCTTTGCAGGTCATTTAAATGTAATGTTTAGACAGAAGCCAATTTTAAGTTAAAATTGTTTTAGAAGAACATGTACAATTGCATGGTTACCTTTGTACTACCCAGTACTAAAACTTCATGTATAAGTAGGTAATTAAGGATGAATGCGAATACAGAAGAGTGCCTCTTGGACCTGGGTAGGTAGCTGGACTTTGGAAGACTTCACTTTCATTACCTATTCCTGTTTCTGCTGGTCTCGTGCAGGGTGGCATGACTGTAGCTACAAGCACATGGCTGAAGCCATGTGAGTTATTCTTGCTCTGCAATCAGAGCTGTACTGAGATTGGAAGAGATTTTTTTTATTTTACAAAGGCTACTTGTAAACAGTATAATTGAGTGGTAAGTCATGAAAATTCTCCATCTTTTCTTAACAATTCCCAGTTAATCTGACCAAGTCAAAACCAGCTCACTTGTACTAATACTTTTCCTTCTATGTTAAATGGGCCTGACTAGTTCTTTGGCTAGTGATTTTTCATGCTAGCTTTGGGACCAAAGCTGGTTCAAGTTGCTGTCTGGGATGGTATTACAACGTCACATTGACTCAAAATGCAAAGATGTAATAAGGTAGCATGAGGATGTTCTTGGGGATAATTTGGAGAGGGAGCTGTGTGTGAGGCAGATGGGAGGGAAGCACTCTGCATACATGAAATACTAATGACATTTCACATCTGTGCTGGTTGCACGAGTCCTTATAATGAATAAAAGCAAATAAAATAGCCTCTCTGAGAAATCTCCTGAAGAACTTTGTTTCTTCAGGAGCCATAAGGGGAGTTCTTCCCCCCACCCATACACATTTATTTTGGTGTGACCACTTTTCTTTACATGGGCAGGCATGCAGTCTCTCTCTGTGCAGGTATGTAGTACCAGTAACTATAGGGCAGCTAAGCTTCCCTCTTAGCAATGATCAATGTGTTTCCCAAACCTATTGGCTTTTTCTAAGGAAAAAAGTCAGATTTTCTTCTGAGGCATAAAAAAGGGAGAATATATCAGAAATAAGGAGACTGGTTGCACATGAGCAATGTCATCTGTTTTCAATTACACTAGTTAGTGATC